CCTTTCCATCTCGGCTTCCATTTGAGTTTGGAGAACTTGCACCCTGTGTTCCATCTGGTCTTGCATTTGAGAAATGACAGACGGCGTGTATTGCTGTGAAAAACGAGAACCTCGAACCCATCTGTTTGCCATAGTAGAGCTCTGCACCTTGGCCAAGTCCCTTCACACGCCCCTTCTTATTGCGCCCACCCACCGTCTCCCAGTACAACTCATTGGACTCTTCTGAATCCCCTGACTCCTTGTTTCTTCGAGTTTCTTCTGGTAGGTCTCCTACAAAATATTGAAGATAATAAAAAATATTGTTAAAAAAAAACAACCAACAATATAAGGTAAGGTTTCTTTCTTCTAACATTCCAATATCACATAATTTTAGGTGCATAAGGATAGAAATAAAGAAAAATAAGCACATATGTCAAATATCGACCCTAACTCATCCAAAATCATCCAAATTTGGGCTATATGGCTAAAACCATGCCTATTTTCTAAGTTTTCAAGCAAATGGACTCGTTATTTCTTCTAACATTCCAATATCAATTTCTTTTAAGTGCCTAAGGATAGAAATTAAGAGAAATAAGCACATATATCAAATATCGACCCTAACTCATCCAAAATCATCCAAATTTGGGCTATATGGCTAAAACCATGCCTATTTTCTATGTTTTTCAATCAAATAGACTCGTTCTTTCTTCTAACATTCCAATATCACATACTCGTAGGTACCTAAGGATATAAATTAAGAGAAATAAGCACATATGTCAAATATCGACCCTAACTCATCCAAAATCATCCAAATTTGGGCTATATGGCTAAAACCATGCCTATTTTCTAAGTTTTCAAGCAAATGGTCTCGTTCTTTCTTCTAACATTCCAATATCAATTGCTTTTAAGTGCCTAAGGATAGAAATTAAGAGAAATAAGCACATATGTCAATTTTCGACCCTAACTCATCCAAAATCATCCAAATTTGGCCTATATGGCTAAAACCATGCCTATTTTCTATGTTTTCAATCAAATGGAAGGTTTATTTCTTCTAACATTCCAATATCACATACTTGTAGGTGCATAAGGATAGAAATTAAGAGAAATAAGCACATATGTCAAATATCAACCCTAACTCATCCAAAATCATCCAAATTTGGGCTATATGGCTAAAACCATGCCTATTTTCTAAGTTTTCAAGCAAATTGTCTCGTTTTTTCTTCTAACATTCCAATATCACATACTTGTAGGTGCATAAGGATAGAAATTAAGAGAAATAAGCACATATGTCAATTTTTGACCCTAAATCATCCAAAATCATCCAAATAAGCATATAATGAGTTCTACTTTGCTAATTTGCCATATATCAACTCATATAATAAGTGTTTACCGCAATCCTTTTTGCTTTGTTGTTGGCAGACACTTGGCCTTTTCCAGGCACTTCCTTGAAGTGTGTCTTCAAGAAAAGATCATGGGCATTTGGTAATTGGCCTTAGTTTTTTGCAGCCTTTATATATACATGCAGAAAATCAATGAAAACATGTTAGCCCACCAAAATTCATTAATAGACAAATGACTTAATTGTTACTAGACATATTGTAGGAACCTTACCATCCTTTTAGCATGTTGTACAGATGACATTGAACCTTGAAAGTAGGTCGGTTCAACGACATTTTTCCATGGATCCGCCTCTTCGGTTCTTCTTGTTTTGTTCCGACCGCTTCTTATAATCTGGATCGGTGGCAACAATTCACATCATGCGTTCGTGGACATCGTTATTAAGCCATCTTGGTCTGCGACCATTCAGCCTGTGTGTGATGTTGTAGAACGCCGTCACGTAGGCGATTTGCAAACTTTTCTTCGAAAGTGTCCTTCACTTGGTTGTTTAACTCAGGTGCCCACTTGAATTTTTTCTGCAAATCAAGAAAATGTCTTTATTACAAAATTCAACTCCATCAATATACTTTATAAAACATGTATTATGTTAGGTTAAAGTTATCATACGCTGAACAAGTTCCATAAGTGCTCTCTCGAATCTTTATCAACCTCTCCATTATTCCTCCAAGGCTCAACATAGTAGCCGGTTAGCGAGTCGGAGAGCACATTCTTCACCGGGATATCATCAAACCTATAATAAAAGATAGACATTCATGTAAGTAGATAATAAAAAAAAAGTGAACAAAACATGGTTAAAGTAATACAAATTCACTTTATCAAAGTAAATACGAATTTAAGGATATTTCATTATACAAATACATACGCACCAAAGTGTGGAAGGGTCCAACTCTAGCAAGTCATTAGGATGCGGGTCCTGTAGCTCCTGTTCCTGTTGCTCCTGTTGCCCTTGTACATGCCTAGGAATCTGTCTCCGATTGACGATTTCTTGAGAGGCCCCTAAATCATGTGCCTCCTCTTCCTCCATTGACTCATCCTCGTCAACACGTACAACCTGAGATTTCCCCTTAGTCTTTCTCCTCTTGGACGTTTCTCCTTTATTTCCTCCTCCCATGATAACCACCTGAAAAAGTTGTTAGTACCATGATCGCACATTGTAAATTCATATATTAGATCCATAAGACATTAAAATAATAAAATGAGACCAAAAATGTAATGCAATATTACAAGTCCGAGTAGTCATTAAAAACTAAACATTCGAAGACAATAGTTAAAGGAGTAACTACATATTCTCCTCTTCATTACTCTTATCACTACTACCACTATCATTATCACTATCATTATTACTATCACTAGTGTCATCTAAAAATACATCGATGTCCTCTTCTTCGTCACTATCACTGGAGCCAATGCTTTCTTCTTCTTCTTCTTCATCACTTGAGATAATAAAGCCATCGTCATCATCATCATCACTATCAAGTTCATAGTCTGGAATGTCATTTGGTGGACAAAGCGTTGCATGTACTTGTGGTGAAGGACCCTGCAAAAACTCTAAATCCACCGGAGCATCAATCACCGACCGTGCTTGATATCTAAATACAGCCCACCATTGAACCCGATCACGTTTAAGGCTAGGGTAAGATGCATAATACACTTGAGACACTTGGTAAGATAAGACAAATGGATCTTACTTGGATACTTCTTAGTATGATTTACTTCGACAAGCTTGTATTGTTCATGAATGTTCATTCCTTTACCACAATCCATCCAACTACAACTAAACAAAATAGTCTTGTACTCTTTTTCGGGACCGGTGTAGACAAGTTCAATTATGTCGTTTAAAATGCCAAAGTACTCTCCACCGTCCTCACTTGAGACACACACCCCGTAATTCATCGTAGATTTGTGTTTGCCATAGGACTGTGTGTGGAAATTAAAGCCACCGACAAATATCTGGTTCCAAGTTCGAACACGCTTGAAAGGCCTCATAGACAATGCTCGCAACACATCGGAACTTGGTTTTTGTTCTCTCACCTATAACCGTTACGAATACAAATGTCACACTAATTGAAATGAAATATATTATATTATATTATCATAAATTAATCGATATGCAATGTTCGAAAAGTATTATCACCTTGTGATGAAACCAATCAGGGAATTCAGTTTCGCATATTTCCATGACATCTTCTCGACGTAAATAAGTTCGAGTACTAAGAATGTAGTCCTCAAACTGCCTAATAGATTAATGACACATGGTTAATCATTGCAGCAATTATATTAAATTTAAGGGATTTTCAAAATTTTATCCTAAACATATATACCTTTCGTATTCACCAAAAATGCAGGTATTTCTTAAAACGAACAAATGAGCACGTTCGAGTTCCTTGTCATCTAAATACCGAGTTTTACCCAAATTTGACACACGACCCTTATCCACCGTGAACAGCTCTGGGATTTCATCGTTGTCAGCCGGGGATTCCACATCAGCATTCACATTTCGACCTAGATCTCGTGTTTTTGTGTCAACTGAGGGCTGAAAGTAATTGGAGCAGAAGTTTGATATCTCTTCAGTGAGATAAGCGTTGCATATGGAACCTTCAACACGATCCTTATTACCAATTTTTGGTTTCAGGTGATTGATATTTATGTAGCCGTAGAAGTATAAGTAACGAAAAGCAATGAAAGAGATGAAAGTAAGAGTTGAGAAAGGACCTTTGATTTACCTTTCGAAAGGATACATCCACCGATATTGAACAGGTCCACATAACTTGCCCTTATATGGCAAATGAATTGGTAAATGCTCCATGGAGTTGAAGAAAGATGGGGGGAAAACCTTCTCAAGCTTGCACAGGATCTCAGCTATGTTTTTTCCAATCGCTCCATGTCGCTAACTGTAATTGTGTAGCAACATAAATCGCGAAAGAATTGGCTTATCTCTGTAATTGCATTCCATATATGGGTAGGGAGCAATTCTCTCAAAGTAGTGGGCAACAACCTCTCCATGAACACGTGACAATCATGACTTTTCATTCCATGTAACTTACCTGATTGCAAATCAACGCATCGGCTCAAATTGGAAGCGTAACCATCAGGAAACCGCAGCTGTTTGACCCACTCACACAAAACCTTTCTCTGAGCCTTGTCAAGAGCAAATGGAGCCTTTGGCATGAATTCTTTTCCTCTATCATCCTCTTGAAGATGTAGCTGGGGCCGTTTACAGTATTTAGCAATGTCATTCCGAGCTGATGGCGTGTCACAAGATAGCTTTTTCACGTCCATTATAGTGTGAATCAACTGATCAAAAAAGTTTTTTTCAACGTGCATGACATCTAAGTTGTGACGAACAAGAAGATGTTTCCAATATGGAAGGTCCCATAGAGTGCTTTGCTTGAACCACCCTTTTTTTGCATTCTTCAGACCAGTGGCGGAGCCAGGAATATACAACCGGGGGGACGACAACTAAATGTCGCATCATTTGACAAAAATATATTAAAAAAAAAAATTAAACACAACGATAGGTTTATAGTTAAAATTTTACAAATAAAAAACGACAACTTATAATTAGTCCTACAATTCAAAAAAAAAAAAAAAGATGAAAAAAGTACATAAAGTTTATTATTAAATTATAATTGCATCCTTCGAGTCTTCATATTTTGAAAACGATCAATGATTTTTTCATCAGGAACTTGTAAGAACACTTTCTTCTCAATAAAAGTGACCAAACAATCATTCATAAATTGGTCACCCATGCTATTTCGCAACTTACTTTTGACATATGTCATTGCGGAGAATACTCTTTCAACACTTGCCGTAGCAACGGGGAGAATCAACATCAACTTGATAAGCAAATATACAAGAGGATATGTCTTATCCTTCTTGGTATTAACAAGCATCATGGAAAGAGAGTTAAGATCACGCAAATTTTGAAATCTCTCATCATTGTGCATATTTTCCATGAATATATCAAGTTGACCTTCAAGTGTCATCAAATCAAAACTTGAAAATTCTTCGGGATAATAAGAGGCAAGTTTGAGTACCTTTTCTTTGTCAAACGATGAGAAGTTATCTTTAGGACTTAAGCAAGCCATACAAGTAAGTAACTCCATGCTTCTCTCACTGAATCGATTATCAAGCTCTTGAAGATGCAAATCAATTTCCCCCAAAAATATTTCAACACGAAAATGATGTAGATTTGTTGCTTTTTTGACAAAGCGTCGTGATCTTCTTTGAGGAACATAAAGAGCATCCATAGTGGGAACATCAATGCCATGTTTAGTGCAAAATAAAGTAACCTTGTTAAGAGAGTCTCCCACCCTTGTTCCCTCATTTTTTGCAACACACTTTTTGTGAAAGTAACTAGTTCCATGGTGTAGACACCCATTTGTGTCTCCCCAAAACCAAACCCAGTGATGAGTACCTTTCATGTCGAATCATAATCGAATGAAACGAAAGTGTGGAAAGGTCTAGTGTTGCGGATAGTTTTTATTTCTTTTCTCTTCTCTCTGTTTTTGAAAACTTATTTTAAGAAAACAGCCAATCCAGTTTGGTTGGTCCATGATATGGATCCAATAGTAGTGTAGTTGTATGGGGCTTGCAAAGACCTTTCCAACGATATATTATAGGCCCAATTCCGATGAATATTGAGGAAGTTATGGCCAATTTACCAAATTGAGCCCGGTTTGAGCTTTATGTACGGCCCAATGATCTAGGGGAGGGCCTAATATGATTTATCATTCCTAATGCAATTAGGAATGGTTTTAGTCTTCTAGATTCTTCTAGAAGGTTCCTTTCATTCCTAATTCAATTAGCATTGATAAATTGACTTTTGTTGACTTCTCAGAGTTTTAATCAAAATCAAATAGCATTTTTGAGGAAATTATATTATTTTATCCTCCAGTACGGTAAACTTATCGGATTTTCGAAAACGCGTTGGAATCAGGCTTGGCGCCTAACCCCAGGCCTTGGCGCATGGAACCAGGCCTGGCGCTAGCCATTGGCGCTTGGCACAAGCTAGCCTGGGTTGGCGCCAGCCCTGTTTTCTGAGCGTCAGACTCTGTTTTGTTTAATTTATCTTTTTGGCTGATTTTCTCTATAAATATCGTATTAAAAACTTCGTTTTCTTCACCAACATTCACCAATTATCATCATCTACATTCATTCACCAATTGATTTCATTCATCTCTCTTAAACATTCAATTCTTTCTTACTTTGCTTTTTACATACAAAATTTTGCATTCACAAGATCTAGAAACACCTAGCCATATTCAAAGTTGCCTTCGCCCTAGACGTGAAAGGTTTAATTTATGAGGGTTTGGTCCCAAATCTCTCTTTCAATTATTTAATTTAATTGTTTGTTTATTATTTTCCTTGAAGTTACTAACGCGTGTATTTTGTTATTAGAAAGAGGTACGAGGCATCAAAGTAAGTACTTTATGGTTTTAATTGATGTGATGATGTAGAAATCATGTTTATATTGTTGTTATGATATTCCTAGTATCATGTCTAGGGTGATTTTAATATTAAATATGATTGTTGTGATGCTTCCTATTCTCTTCCTAATATTTATGATTGTTAGTATCATGTTAGGGTTAAAGATTTGATTTTTATTGCTTAGTGACATGCTAGGGTTTGTTATTAATCTTGTTAGTATCATGCCTAGGATCTTGCTATGTTTATTATGCTTTAATATTAACATGAACATGATTATCATTATAATTTATGATTATGACGATTATGAATATTATTATTATTTTTTTGATGATGATTATTTTATTTATAATTATTATTATGATGATTATTTATTATTGTTGCTTGATATTATTGCTTGATCACATCCTTTATGAATGTTTAAAGGGAATCTATACTTGTAATCACGCTTAATAAGATAATTAATAATCTTGTTAGGGTTAATATGATTATAATTCAAGTGATCGCCAATAATAGATTTATTTGTGCATTATATTCAACCAAAATAGATAAACAAGTTTAGGGTTAATCCTAATGATTGCATGTTAATTAAGAAGCGCACATGAATACGAGCAGAATAAAGTAGAGGCCTATTATTAGGGCAGGTTCAATCTCTTTTAGGTTGGATTTGTACCATCATCCCCGAACCCTTATTTGGTTCTAGACCTTGTGGAGTTGACGATCTCTTGGATCGTTAAGGGGTGTAAACCTTCACCTCGTGAACGGTTTACAAGTTCCTAAAAAACTTGTTGGCGACTCTTTTGCTCTATCTTCTTCCCTTTTGGACGCCACCGTACTTTAGTGTATGATCACAGTGGGGTTCAAGCTAGTGGGATTAACGCTTGAAATTATTTCCTACACATGGCATTTACAATATCTTGCTCCTTTCTTTGCAAAGCAATACACAAATCATTAGTGTAACTAAAAATAGTCAACATCAAGTAAGCAACAAAAATAAAATCAAATGACTCTAATTGTCCTAAAACAATTTGAGCTTTAAACTTATCTTCCGATGCACCATGTTTCCCAATGTGAACAAGTACCTTAACAATTATAGAAAACAAGCGGATGACATTTACAAGACACTTGTAATGGGATCCCCAACAAGTATCTTTGGGCCTCTTCAAACCCAGCTCTTGATTCAAACCCGATCCACTCAAAATTTCCCCCACTTCCAATGCTTGAGCAACTTCTTGAGCTTGACTATTACGAATCATTTCTCTTCTTTTGCAAGAAACTCCAACAACATTCAACAAGTTTGCAAGTATTTCAAAAAGCCAACCACAACTATCATTTCTTTTAGTAACGACAACTAGTGATAGTTGAAGTTGATGAGCAAAACAATGTATATAGTAGGCTCTTGGAGTATCATTCATAATCAAAGTCTTAAGGCCATTTATTTCACCCTTCATATTACTAGCCCCATCATACCCTTTCCCTCTAATCATAGATGGGCTCAATGAATATTCCACAAGTAGTGACATAATTGCATCTTTAAGAGATAAAGCGGTAGTATCACCAACATGAACAATGCCTAAAAATCTCTCCATTACCTTTCCACTATTTCTATCAACAAAGCGCAAAACAAGAGCTAGTTTCTCTTTTTGGGACACGTCACTTGACTCATCGGCCAATATAGAAAAGTAATCATCACCAAGCTCTTCAATTATGCACTTAGTCGTTTCTTTTGCACAACAATTAATAATGTCTTTTTGGATCGGGGGAGAAGTCATTTGACAATTTCCGGGTGCATTTTCAAGAGTATGATCACCTACTTCCTTAACCTCTTCTCCTAACCATTTCAATAGCTCAATGAAATTACCCCTATTATGAGACTCATCACTTTCATCATGGCCACGAAATGCCAAACCTTGTCCCAAAAGAAACCTTAAACAAGTTAAAGATGCATTCAAACGAATATAATATTCATTTTTAATTACCTCACTTGCCTTTTCAAAAATATTCACAATTGATTTATTTTTCCCATCTTTTAAATTCACATACTTCTCATACGCAAGATTATGAGCACTCTTAATTCCACCAACATGCTTCTCAAATCATTCCGGTTTATTCCATTTCCTAAACCCTCCATCAACAAATGCATCACCTCCCATATTATTTTCAACTTCACCTTTGAACAAATAACATACAAAACAAAATGCGGCATCTTTTTCAATGCTATACTCAAGCCAATCCCATTTGTTGAACCAATTCACACTAAACGACGCAAACCTCCTACTTGTCTTTGAGGGAAGTTGTGAGTTTTTGGTTGACAAGGTTTTTTTAGAATATAAGCTCTCCTTACCGCATTTCTTTGATTTGGGGGATAATTCATTATATTCATTCTTTTTCCCGGATCATGGGGAAGTAGTTCAACATCATATAGCAATTCTTCCTCCTCCAGTGGTACATTACTAGTACTTGTACCACCACCATTTTCTACAACATTTTCTTGAGTTTCAGGGGAGGTAAATGAAGTGGGTTCATTTCCTTGAGATTTCATTCTTGTAAACATAAATTGTCGAAGATCGGGTTGTTTTGACATGGCCTAATTTAATCAATAAGAATGTAAACAATGAATCAATAATAATTCAATTACCATCGTATATTCATAATTTCATATCATACAATCCAAATAACCAAACAATTAAACACAAATAACAAGTTATAAAGTGAACTATTTGACAACCCTAACTAAACATTGGAATTCAAACAATTAACCATTAGAAAATTAGGATTTAAACAATTAACACTTTAAAAAAATTGGCACTTAAACAATTAAAAAAATAATAAGATTTAGGGTTTAGAGGGTTAATTTATAATTAGAAGTTACTTACTTTGAATTTGGGGAAAATCAAAGACAAATTAATTGTTGGTGTACCGTCGCAATCAGCGTCGCTGGCGTCAGACACTCAGACGTGGTCTCCTCACTTCGTCAATCAGTGACGTTACTCGTGTCTCGTGCCTCGAGCCTCGTGGTCCACTGGTCCGTGGAGTACAATTTTGGTCTAGAGGAATTGTAAAAGTCTTAATATTTTTTTTTTAACTTTTTATGTTTGTCTTTTAGTATTTTTTATTCTTTATATTTTTTGTCTTATATGTGATGTGACTTAACTTCCTTACTTTTGCTCTCTTTTTGTTTGTGGATCAGTACAACTTGTACCTTGTGCGTGATTTGCAAGGCTTTTTTTTTTAATAATAAAAAACTGATTTTTTTTTTCCAAAGTGGGGGGACAGTTGTCCCCCTCTCCCTCCGCCACTGCTTGAGACGTTTCAGTGCCTCAGGGCCATCTGTTGCTTTCGGGAGGTTTTTCACACATTCCCAAAGTTCCTCTCCTGACATGATGTGAGGTGGTGAACCTTTTTCGACTTTGTTTTTACAAAATGCATTTTTACTATTTCGAAAAGGATGATTTGTCGGAAGGAATTGACGATGGCAATCAAACTAAGAAACCTTACCACCATTTTCGAGCCAAAATGCTTTGCTTTTCTCCATGCAATATGGACAAGCCTTCTTACCGGCTGTGGTCCAACCAGATAACATACCATAAGCCGGGAAGTCACTAACGGTCCATAGGATGGCTGCTCGAAGATTGAAAATTTGTTTTCTCGAAATATCGTAAGTATTTGCCCCAACTTCCCACAACTGTTTCAACTCGTGTATGAGAGGTTGCATGTAAACATCCAAGTTTCCCTTAGGGTTTTTAGGACCAGGAACGAGTAACGAAAGAAACATGAACTGTCTTTTCATACACATTGACGGAGGCAAGTTATAAGGGGTCAAAATGACAGGCCAACATGAATACTGTCCCCCAAACTGACCATGTGGAGCAAATCCATCCGTACATAGGCCAAGTCGAACATTACGAGGTTCAGAGGCAAACTCAGGAAAGCAACTATCTAGGTGTTTCCACGCTTCACTATCGCTAGGGTGTGCCATTGTGCCTTGAACTCGAGGATTTTTAGCAAGCCATGTCATTTCCTCAGAAATGTTTTTAGTTGCAAAAAGCCTTTGAAACCTAGGTGTGATAGGGAAATAAAATATAACATTCAAAGGCACTAAGCTACCTTTAGAAGTCTTCTTGTATCGGTCGCTGCCACACACCCTACATGTAGATAATTGAGCATCATCTTTCCAAAACAACATACATCCTTTCGGGTATGCATGAATCTTTTCATGGGGCAGCTCTAACCCCTTAACAATTTTCTTGACCTCATAGAATGTCTCGGCCATGTGGTTGTTGTTAGGAATCGCTTCATTAACCAAAGAAGCAAATCCATCAACACATCTGTGCGGCAAATTATACTCACACTTTAGGCTAGTGATTCTAGAAGCCATCTCTAACACAGACAATGAACTCCCTTCGTATAACGGTTGTTCAGAAGCCCTTAACAAATCAAAAAATGGCTTGGCTTGTGCATTAGGCTCCTCCTCTAATGAAACAGGTGGCTCTTCGGAATGGCCTTGATCTTGAGACTGACCAAAGGCATCCAAAACCATTTCACGATATTCATTTGACTGCCTTCTACGAGTTCCTGGAAACCCTTCCCCATGACACATCCACTCATAGTAATTAGGTAAAAAAACCGCTGCGATACAAATGAAGTTTGACCGTATCTGGATCCCAAAGACGTTTGTTTTTGCATCTAAAACATGGACACCTAACTTCATTCGGGTTGCTACTATCGGGATGATATTCCACATATTTAAGGAATTCATCTACCCCCTTCAAGAACTCAGGATTAATAGAATTGTACATCCAGCTACGTTCTTTTCGTTTCATGATTACAAGTTCTACACAACTAACACATATGCCATTAATCACATTAGTCATAAAGCACAATATATATTCATTATAGATCAAACTGTTATGGAAATGCAAATGAGAAGAGAAATGATTTCCAAGGGTCCTTATCACTCCAACCTAACCCATCCTTGTACGTTCAATCTCACTAGTGAATGTATGCCAGAATTTCATTTCTATGGAAAATCCGGCAGCATCTCCCTACAGTTCCCCAAGTACACAATATAGGCGATTAGAAACACCTATATATGTACCTAGAGAACATTGTAGAGAAATGACAAGCAAGGATCTTCCTTAGAATTAAAACAAAGGAATACATTCACCACCTAAGTGAGAATAAACATACGAGGACAGTCCCAACCGGGGACTATTCAAGACATACTCCTAATGTGTATGCCTTGAACGGGTATCTAGCTATATTATTATGCAAATAATTTTTTTTAAAAATATATATACTTAACTAACATACATAATATTAAACAAATATATCAAGATTAAACTAAACAAGAGAAACAAATCAAACCAAACCAAAGTAAACTAATATATCATATTAAACTAAACCAAACCAAACTACCGTTTTATATATTAAATTAAACTAACATATTTCTAAAAAAACTAAACTAAATTAAGATACTTTATATTAAAATAAATTAAACTAAAACACATTATATTAACATAAAATTAACTAAAATACATTATGTTAAACTAAACTAAACCAAACTAACATTGTTTTTTTTTTAAAGAGAAGGGAGCAATTAATTAATTATAAGATTTATTTAAAAATATATATACTTAACTAACATACATAATATTAAACAAATATATCAAGATTAAACTAAACAAGAGAAAAATATCATAACACCATACTATTAATATAAACCAAATCAAACCAAACCAAAGTAAACTAATATATCATATTAAACTAAACCAAACCAAACTACCGTTTTCACTAGTAGAAAAAAAGCATTAGGCACCCCCCATATGGCACCGGTTCAGCCTAAACCGGTGCCCAAAATCAGTCTAGAATTGGGCGGGTTTTTACCAAAAGAGAAAAGGCACCGGTTCAGCCTGAACCGGTGCCAAAAATAAAAAAGGCACCGGTTTGAACCGGTGCCATTCAAATCGTTGCCAAATTAAAAAAAAAAACCGCGTCTTTTCCTCTTTTCTTCCTTTCTTTCTCTTTCCTTCCCTTCATTCGTTCATCCCTTCTTTCGTTCTCACTCAGAGTATTTGAAGTCGTGCCTCCACCTTTTCCCTCCACCACAGCCGCCACCTTCACCGGCGCTTTCAGGTGTCGAAAACCACCGCCATGAATTCTCCCTGCCCTGCCCTTCTTTGTCTTTCACGGTCGGCCTCCACCGCCTTTCTCTGTGCGAAACAAATAACAACAGCAACAGCGCGCACCGCCTCCACCTCCACCAGCGCGCACCGCCTCCACCTCCACCTCCACCAGCGCGCACCGCCTCCACCTCCTGTCAACCTCCACCAGCGAGGGTCTTTTCATTCTCTCATCCCCTTAGCTTCTTCCACCTCCAACTAATTTAGGGTAAGTTCATCTTTTCAAGTTAATGGGTTCATCTTATTTTAGATTAAAATTGTGCTTAGATTGTATATGAAATGCGAAGAAAATTAATGGGTTCATCTTATTTTAGATTAAAATTGTGCTACATTGTTGGGATTAAAATTGTATGTTTGTGCTACATTGCTGGCTGTGAAATTTGTTTATGATGCCTTGTTTTGGGGAGTTTGGTTTTTGATAATTGAATCAGTTTAAGGATTTATTACTGAATTTTGTTGCTTGGATTCGATTTCAGCTGAATTCTGGCAAAGTTCTTGCTGTTGGACCTGGCCTTCGTGACAAGACGGGGAATCATATTCCTGTTGCTGTCAAAGAAGGGGATACCGTGAATACGGAGGAACTACAGTGAAGCTTGGTGAAAAAGAGTAGTTTATTTTTCTCCATGCACTTTTCTTTTTGTTCCAGATGGTGATTTCTTAGTCAAATTATTGTGATTGAATGCTTTGACTCTTGATCCTCGATTGAATATATTAGTAATTTTGCATTACCTTGTTCCTTAGTTGACTTTTTGTATGTTTTAATGTGTATATTAGTGACCTTGCTTCTAATTAGTTGTGAATAAATTAGAAAATTGTGAATAAATTAGAGAATTGTGATTACACTATAGATTTGTGAATAATTTAGAGAATTATGATTAAATTAGAGAATTGTGCATAAATTAGAGAAATAGTGATATTGCCACTTAATTAGTTGTGAATAAATTAGAGAATTGTGAATACATTAGAGATTTGTGAATATATTAGAGAATTAGTGGCGTTGCTAATTTTTGTTTTTTTAATATATAGATTCATATGTGAATTGAAGCAAGAGTTTAATTAGCTTGAGGACTACATATTGAGCTCAAGTGGGTAGTTGCTATATTGGTATGACTACTAAACTTTACTTAGCTATATTTCTTTCTATTCATCCATTTAATAAAATTTTATTCATGAAATTGCAACTTGTGTATTGTTTAATTGCAAATAAATACAACAATATATAGAATACTTGAATTGCATCATCATATGCCTAGATACCCGTTCAAGGCTTTCTCATTAGGAGAAAGTCTTGAATATTCCCCGGTTGGGACTGTTCTTAAATGTGTACTCTCACTTAGGTGGTGAATGTATGTTTTCTTTT